AAAGAAACATTTAAATAAATCTTAATTAAAAATAAGAAGAAAAAGCAAGAAGAAAACTTTGGTAGATTTACAAAGAGAAATTCTATTTCTAAAACTTCTTGTCATTTTATACAAGAAATGCTTTAATTAAAGTAGAGGGTTTAAAAACTTATAGATTTTTTGGTTTTATATCTTTTTTATGAAAAATATTTTGATTAATTAATTTGTTCTTAAAAGAGTTTTCATTTCATAATTTAATGAATAAAAATTGAGTGAATAAAGTACTAAATTTCATGTTTTATTTAAATTTCTTCTTTTTTTATCGCATTAAACGTTAAATTGAACAACAGTTTTCATTAATTCTGTATCATTAAACTCTATTTGTATTTTATAATATCAATAAATTAGTTATTAAAAAAAAAGACATTAGGATTATAGTTTTGGATTTATGAAATAGTGTCTTCACTTCACAAAAAAAAACATTTATTTTGTTTTGAGGCATTTTATATGAAAAAGCATGTCTCTCTCTTATTTTTATTTAATATTAATAAGATTGTTTTTGTTCTTGCAAGTATATTTTAAGTTAACTTATAAAGAATAGAATTTGTCTTGAGTATAGCTTTTTGTTTATTTAATCATTACCATTAACCTTTCATTAAGTTAGATGTATAAAATCTAGAGAAAGAGGAGAAAGATGATATAATGTTATATATGACAGAAAGGAAGAAAATGAAAGAATAAAAAAGCAAAAAACAAAAAACAAAAAACAAAAGGATTTAGTGGCAAATATTTATCAATTCAAAAAGGTTAATCAAAATAAGATATAAAAATTTTTTGAAATAGATAGCATAATAAGTTTATTTAGAGGAGAAGAATGAAAAGAAGAAAAGTAGAAAGGAAGGGAGTGAAAGAGGGGGGTTATTTTATAAAATACATAAACAGGAATTTTTATTTAGATACAAAGGGAGGGAGATAAAGAACGAAATTCGGAAGTAAAACAAACAAATTCTTTTTGTCGAAAGAATGTTCTGTGAGTGTAATTGGGAAAATTCTTTTTGTGGGTTTTAAAATACTACAACTTAAAATTCATAAAGAACATCTTAGGAGATTAGATGCAAACCGCATATAAAATTAATAGAAATTACCAAGTCAGTGAACAAGGAATAATGCTTGTTCTTTTAAATCAGTTTGCTGATATAGAATTAGAAAAAAAGAAAAAGAAAGCAACAAAAGCACTTCCATTTCTACAAATTCGAAGTATCAATTTTGGAAATGGTGATGTGTTTAATTTTAATCAATTTATTGAATGTCGTTGTAAAGAACTTATTCAAAGTGAAATTCGAAGAGGATTAAAAGAAGAAACAGCATCAAAAAGATATAATTGTTATTTAATTAATGAGTCAATTCATTTATTAATTGACTTACTAAATGAAAATAGAATTCAAACAAGTTCATCATTTTCAGCTGGTAAAAATGGTAGAATTAAAACAGAAACAATTGATACAATTCGTTATAATAGTTCAATATTAGATAAAAACTTTATTAAAGAAAAAGGAGTTGTTATTAATGAATATTTAGCTGAACGTCTTCATGGAGAAGATTCTATTATATTTCATCGCAATTGTTATGAATTACAACATTTATTAATATAATAAACATCAATACAAATGTGTTCTTGTGTATTAATTCAATTTATTATTTTTATTTGGTTTGTTATTTTTGTATTTACACATGATTTTTCATATTTAAATTCACTTGTCTTTCTACTTTTTTGAACTGTTTGGTATTTTGTTATTAAAACAAAACAAAAGTAAATGAAATAATATAAAAAGAAATATTAATCAAAAATATTATCTTTATTGACTTTATTTTCTTTATATGAAATTTTAGTTATTATTTAATTTATCTTTTATTCTATTTCATAGTGTTATTTGTTAATTCTTTTCTTTTTATATTAATTAATAAATAATATATAATAATTAATAATTTTTATCTTGACTTAAAAATATCTTAAACGTTGTATTACGTTTATTTAATTTTTTTTGAATTACTTTTCCATTGTTTTTTTTATTAGAACAACATTTATTTTTGATGTATTATTTGAAGATAGTTTGTATTGACACAAAACAATAACGTTTTTATACTTCTTTTGTATTAATTAAAAGACGTATGGATTGTAAAAGTGACTATTTTTTTGTTCAAGACTATTATTCCCTTTTATGCGGGGTTTTATATTAAAGTATTTCAATATTGATTAAAAAGACTCGTTTCATTCTGACGTTCATGTATTTGACAAATGTTTTAAATAAAGAAGTTCTATTTTTAGAACACATAATATTCTTTGTTGAGTGTAGTAAAGTTACATGAACATTTCAGTTATTATTGCTACCATGAAACAAAGGAATAACCCATGGTAGACTCTTTAATAAGTGTTTAAAAGGAAAATTGAAATTTCTTGCTTTCTTTGTTTTAGTTTTTGTATTAAGATTGGTTTATGAAATTCAATAAATAAATCTTTCAAAAAAGATAGACATGTTTTTTGTTGGGTTAATTCATTTTGATTATTTTGTTATTGCAGAAGTTGAAGAGTGATAACGTTGTTTCATTTCACTCTGTCAAGTAAGTAACGTCTTAGATTTTGTAAGAAATAAACAACCTAGAAAATGAACAACTACAACATAGTTTATCGTTGGTAAATAGAATAAAACAAAGTACTAATTAAAAAGAAAAAGGAGGAACTTAAACAAAAAAAGGAGAAAAAGGGAAATAACTTAATGAAAACAAAAAATTTGAAAGAAGTTATTTTATCTCTTAAGAAAAGAATAATAAACGATAAAGATTTAACAAATGTCACTTCATTATCTGACGAAGTACAAGTATTGCTAAACAAAAGTGTATCTAAAGAAAATCAAATGAGTGAAATTAAAATTGTGTCTCAATTCAAATTTTTATTTGATACATATAAAATAACAAACACAACCAATAATATTAACTTTTTATCTGATTGTTTTGATATAACCATTTTCAGAGTTGAATGGTTTGAAAGTTTTCAAGAAATTATTCAAACTCCAACAATAAACCATTTAAAGCCATTAATTGATGAATTACTCTCAGTTCAATTTAATGTCCATCTTAAAGACAATATTGATAGAATTGGTTTTTGTCTCTTTATAACAACCCAAATTGAAAAGATGATTACTACAATTCATAAAACAAAATCATCCATTCAACTACCACGAACATTAAGTGAAACTCTTCAAAAAATGTATGAAGAACATACAGTTCCTTTTGGACTTATTCTTCTTTGTATATTAATAATTGGACCACCTACAGGATTAAATTTAAGAAATTTATTATGGCATGGATTTATGAATGATAATGAAATAACAAACACACACATTTGTCTTCTTATTATACTTTATCAAACAATACAAGTGTATTGTCATACAGTTTCTGAACCAAAACATTTAAATATACTTCAACTTCAATTTTTTAATCAAGTCATTGAAATCCCAAATGAGGAACTTCTTTCTCTTATTCATTCTTCTAGTTTTATTCTTCCAAATAGAAGACAACCAATTGAAATAATTGTTAAAAATAAAGTACAACAAGGAAATAATAAAATATTTTCATTTATGAGAATGGTTGTTGAATTGGAACATTTGTTAAGAATAGCATTTATTACATTTAATGATATTGATATTCGATTTGGAATGGCAAATTATTCAAATTACTATACAACATTAGATGTTCTTCTCCAAGAAGATGTTATTTCTTCTTCTGAAGGTCTTATTGTTAATCGACCATCAACAATAAATGATATTAAAGCAGTGAAATATAAAAATACTTCAAAATATAGTGAAACAAAAGGAATAGAGAAAGAAAAAGAAGTACTTTCTAAAAAGAGGAATTTGCTGATTGATATTCTTGGAAAAGATGTTGTGAGTAAATTACATGATTTATTTCTTTTTGAAGGTGGAATTAAATTAAGGGATTGTTTATCACATGGAGAATATCAATTTGATGATTTACCTTCTCAATCTTTTATAGTCATCAAAATGATATGGTTTATTATATTAAAAAGATTGCAAGATTGGATTGTTAACAAACCTTCTCAATTTAATCACTATTTTCAGAAGTATTTTAGCGAATATCCAATGTTTCATCCATTATCTTTTTTTAAGAGAAATTATCAAGAAAGTATTACTTGTTATGAGTCTGTTTGTAATTATTTTAAGTCATTTAGTTATGAAAATGAATTATATGATGATTATAGAAATTATCATTCCAATTTTATCCTTTCTTTTAATTGTTTAAATGATGTGGAGTTGGTTCATAATTTAGTAGCATCAAAACAAGTAATTTATCCATTCTTTGGATCTCCATTATTTTTGTCAAATGTTTGTGAAATATATTTATTGTATTTATATTGTCAATAACCTTCTATTAGATTAAACAAGCATCATTGTTAATAGAATCAACAAATAAAAATTTATTATTTCTTAAAAATACACATTCTGAATTAATTTCATTTCTTAAAAACAGAACAATCAAAAGAAGACAATCAAATGCATTATTTAAATTATTAGTCTCACACCAGGAATTACTTATATTGATTCATTTACTCCAATACATTTCATCAATGATTCTTTTTGAAATAAATCAATCTCAATTATCAAAGCTACTTAAACTAACATTAATATATTCTTCAAAATTGTATGTGTTATTACAAAAATATTCTTTTGAAGATTATGCACCACTCACAAACTCTTATCACAAAAATTTACTATCTCAATTGATTTCTTTTTAGTATTATTTAAATAATAATTAATATAGTGTTTTATAAAACATAAATAGAACAAAGGTTTTGTTTTCAAATAAAATATGAATAAAAGAACTTTAAAAGACAAAAGATGAAGTGGTCTACAATCATCATTTTTCAGTGTATATGTTCTTATACTAGTTTACTATTGATAATTTTTCAGCTTTATTCAATTCATAGAAGTTCATTTTATATTTTTATGGGACTTTTACGACTTCCATTACCACTTTTTGTTTGTTTTAGTTATAAGACTGTATTTATTATTTGGTATTGTTTAGAATACTTATTAAGAATAGGTATTGTTTAATACGTTTATAACAACTTTCATTGGAATATTTTTAATTATTAAACATATATTTTATGAAGAAATAACAACTGCCGAAATGAAAGTCATGAGTTCTAAAATATTAAATGAAATTTGGACAATCTTAATTTTTATATTATCTGGTTTATCAGATATTTCTATAGACTTATTAGTAATTATTATTCTTTATATCTCAATTAAAGTAAATAAAATTTTGATTGAAACAAGAATTGATTTGTATAATGAAACCCAAAGTTATTATTATTCAAAGAGAGTTAGTATGTTTATATTATCATTAATTCTAATTGGTATAACAACTATGATACTTTTACAATACTCTACAACGGATTTTGTTTCATTAATCTTTTATTGTTTTTTCAAAATTCTTTTTTACTCACTTATTTGTGATGTTTTACAACAGATTTTCTGTTTTGTTCATACTCTCTATGAATTCCAGTGGAAATATTATACTTTAACAAGTTTATCAATTAAATCAATTAAACTCTTATTGGCAAGTTTTGAATTCTTTATTCTCTTCAAATCGTTACTTCCAAATGTGTTTGTTGGATTATTAATATTTTCCATTATGCACGTTTGGGAGTCAATTAGTTCTTTGGAACAATTAATGACATACATTTATTATTCCTATTTATTAGACCATTTATCATTAGTTCATTATGATGCAAAAGAAGAACATGAGTGTGTAATTTGTAGGGATGTTCTTACTGAAGCAGCGCACCTTCGCTGTGGACATGATTTTCATGTTAGTTGTTTAAAAGGATGGTTGGCAAGAGCATCTGATTGTCCAATATGTAGAAATCCTATTAATCTTAAGGAGAATAACGAAGAAGAAGTTGAAATTAATCCAACATGGAATGTACATGAAATATAAAACAATTATTTACAACTAAATAAGGATTATACAAATAGATTTATGTTATCAATTTTACTAACAATAATAATTTTTAATTATTCCTTTTTATAAACTTAGAGTAAAACAAAAAGTATTGATTAAATGAAAGAATTAAATATAAATACTTTAAGATGAAATAATGAAAATGAAAGATTTAAATTAAAAAAATAAAAAAAAAAAGAAACTAATTTTTTATTTTTAATTAATTTTTTTAGATTTTGGCTATTTATATTGTTTTGTATTTTGTTTTCATTAAATTTTATTGTTTTTTTTTTCTTTTCTTTTTAAACACATTTGGAGGATAATTTGGTGCAAATACCATATTCCATGTGTTAGTCTGCATTAATAAATGCAATTAGTAAGTTATTGGTTTTTTTGTTGATTACGTAATAATTCCAATGCTTCTTTTAAAAGTCCAATGGCATATTCTTTATTTGATACAATTTTACAAATAATGTTGTTTGTTTGAATAAAATTTAATACAATACCAGTGATTTTTGTTTGTTCATCAAAATCATCTGTAATTGATTCAGATAAATTAAATAATGCTTCTCCAATATCATTTTCCATTGGAGGTTTAACTTTTGTCCATACCATCACAAGAAATGAAACTACTTCTTTTAATTTATCTTTTTCAACAGAATCTATCCAACATAAAGGACATTGTTCTAACATTATTTTCATTAAGATTTTTCTTTCAATAGAATCTGTTTCTTGATAGAACCAAGTAATTTCATTAAAACAGTCAACTATTTTTTTATTAATATCATCATAACTTACTTTAAGAGGTTCTGTTTGAATATCAGCAATTCTTATTAAATCTCTCATTGTTTTTAATTCTGAATGTCGTTTCATATAATTTAATCTTCCTAATGATACTGAATATCCTATTCTTTCTATCACAGAAGCTCGATTTGTAATTTTTAATTTCTCCATTACACTTTCAACCCATTCAAATACTGGTTCTCTTAATGCTAATATCCCATTCTTTCTTTTCTTAATTTGGTCACAAACATTCCATGCTAACACAGCAACTTCTATCATCTGATAAATTTCATCCATTTCTTGAACTAATTCAATAATTCTTTCTTTCTCAAGAAATTCATTAAAACACTCATGAACAAATTCTGCCTTCTTTTCATTGAATGTTTCCTGACGAATGAACTCTAAGAGTTCAGTAGAAACGTCTTTCTGTGTCATTATGCAAAAATTGGTTATTTTTAAGTTCCACTACTTTTTTTACAGATCTTTATAATTTTGTTTTTTCTTTCTCTTTTAAAACTTTCTTTTTTATATTCAAAGGATAATGAAATGACATCTAATTTTCAATAAATCTTATCATTTTATATCTAATGTTTTTTTTTTTGTAAATCCTAAGTTATAAAGAATGTAATAATAGATAAACAATGATATATAAATTAAAATTCTGGGATGAAAGGAATTTGTGAGACTGTGTGATTAACACTACTTGAAAACATTTTAAACATTTCTTTATATTGATTTGTTCTTGATTGTTGGAATAAATAATGCGTTCTCATTAATTGGGCAATAGGAAGAATATCTTTTTCAGTATATGTTGAGTATTTAATAAGTGTTTTATCCCAATAAGGAACAGTATTATTGATTCTTCTCTGAAAATAAACAGCAGCTGCTGCAATTTGAGATGGAAGACATTGAATCATTTTTTGGTCTAATGTAGCAATTAAAATTAAATACTTTCCAAGAGTATGTTTAATTTCATCTGCATTTGCTGCCTTATCAAATCTTCTCAAAAAATCAATTGATAATGGACGAAGAAATCTGAAATCAATTGTTTTACAAATCACTCTTTCCATCTCTAATAATTGGTTTTTTGTATATGCACCTTTACTAATAATAATAAATTCATCAACATGTGGGTATGTGATTTCTTGAAATTTAACACATAAATGAAGACAAGCAACACCAACTAATTGAACCTCTGATCTATATCATTAATTTTTTTTTATCAATCAGATTATTTGAATATACTAAAAAATAGTTAATAAAAACTACTTATCTAGTAATTTCACAAAAATAGATTATTCCTCATATTAACATAACTAAAAATAATATTTAACAAACTTAGGGATAGTTGTTTTGCGAGAAATAAAATCATCAAATGTTGCAACAGTGAGTAAATATGTTTCTATTGTTGTTGCAAATTCATCTTGTGAAACAAGAAATAACCAGTCAAGTAAAACATTACGTGTAACTGCACTAATATGAACTTGTTTTTGAAGTAAATCTGGTGCAATTTGTAAATCCTTTTCACTTTTAAATAAGTTATCAGATATTTCTTTAATATTTTTTGGTTCATACCTCATTAAGAAATGATCTTTTTCATATTGATCAATGTCTTCTATTTGTTCATCAAATTGAGTTTGACTTTCTAAAATAACATCATTGGTATTTTTTGTTAGAAACTCATTTAAATCTTTATTTTCATTTGAAGATAGATAAATTTCAGGTTGTTTAGATATTATTTCATCATTTGTTAATTGGATTAATTCAAACGCATTACTTGGTTTAATTTCCAATTTAACTAATTCTTTTTCAATTGATTCATCATCTTTTTCAACAAACTGTTCTAAATTAGGTAATTTGTCTTCCAGGGTATTTACTAAATTACTTTGTTCTTGACTGTCTTTACTTTTTTGGGATGAATGATTAAGATTAATCTTGGCTGTTGGTGGTTGGATGACATGATGTTGTCGAAATCCAATTTGGTTAATTAATGGTTTAATGGCAATTTCGCTCTTATTTTCAGTATCTCTTGTAACCATACTTTTGGTGTTTGTGAGATGTTTCATAGTTTCAGGTCGATTGCAAAGAAATTTAGTTCTCATAAATCCATTTAACCTTTCATTTTACTTGTGATTTTATCATTATTTCTTTGTGCGTGTTTTTTATTTCAATTTTCGTTTTGTTGGCACAATAAAAATAGGCAAAACTTAAACATTCCACGCTTGGATTATTGAAAAAGAGACTAAACTACTATTTATAGTATTTTATTATATTTTTATAGTTTTCTTTGGTTATATACTTAATGTTCATCTTATCAAAAAAATGACATAAAAAAAATCCTATAATAAAATATATATTATTCTTTAATAGAATTTAGGTATATGAAGATGCTTCTTTGTGTTTCTTCTTCTTGAAATACCTTATCAATATTTCTTTTATGCTTTATCTCTTAAAATTTATATTCATCCAAGTTTAGTTATTTCTCTTCTTTATTAAGGTGGATAATTATTCTCATCACTTCTTCGTTCAATTGATTAACACAAGAATGTAAGTTGATACTTCTTTATTTCTTTTGCTCATTTTTTTTTATTTAAATTTCATGACTATAATAAGTATTTATGACTATGGTTGGTCGTTATAACTATAAATAAGTGACGAAACTCTAAAGTGTTTGGTTATTTTTTATGACTGTCAGGAATTTTATTTCATTAGTTCTTTCTATTTTTTTCTAAACAGATAGTATTAAGAAACACTCTTTGTAAAACATTTATTTTGAATGAACAACAATTTAAAATATTAACGAAATGAACATTAGTTTCATGTTTTATTATTGTTTTCATATTTTTTATTATTGGTACTTTCTAATTGAAGGAATGTGCTATTTCATTTAGTAAATATTGTCTTTATATTGTATTACATTATTTTATTCTCCCTTTTCTAGTTGATTTCAAACATTATAATAAAAACATGTACTTTAGATACATATTGTATGGATCGTACATTGTTAATAACTCAATTTTTAGTCATTTCCATTATTTATATTTCATGCTAGTCTTTAGTGGTTGAGCTTTAATGAAAGAGACTGAATGAGTTTTGAAGCAATTTTACATAACTGGAAGTATGTCTAGAATGTATATTTGAGATGCGTTTGTTTGTGAGTTTTGATTGAGAAGATAGATTATATATATTTTTGTTACAAAAGTTAAAGTAATAAATGAGTAATGATTAAAGACACTATTCTCATCACATACATTTTTGTTATAATTCTAGTATCACTACTAATGCATTATAATACACAATAAATAAATAGTTCATCAAAACGTCATTAAATAATATAAAGAATTTCATGAGTAGAGTTATTATTATATGAGAATCTATTAAAGAACTAGACAATTCATTTTATCTAAACAACCAATTGGATAGTATTTGTTTGAACTTATTTATATTCTTGTGTTTAAAGAAAATACTAAAACAAAAATTGTGTTTTTAAACAATATCTATTGAATATAAGAGAATATCAAATTTATTCTATAAAATGTAATGTTCAATTCAATTCCTATTAAAACAAAGTATTTTTGAAATGGATTGATGTATAATAAATCTATTCTAGTTGAAATGAAAATATTAAATATCATAAACAAAATTTCTTCAATTAAGAATATGTTATTATTATTTGTTTTGTTCTTTTTTTTTATTTTAAGTATGAATATATTTATTCTTTTGTTTGAGATTCTTTAAGAGTATTACACATCTATCACTTTTTAATTCTTATTGTATTATCTTCATCAAGTCTATTTATAAACATTAATTTTTATGACATTCACTCTCTAATTTATGGTATTGTTTATTTAATGTTTTATTGACAGCTTACAATGGTAATAATATAATTTCCTATTATTCTTTCTTTCATTGTTATATTGTGATTCATAAATGAATAAATAATTATTAAAATTAATTAGGCATTTATTCAATATCTAATTTATATATTTTGTTTTTATTTAGATAATTTCGGTTTTATATTTAATTTTTTCTCAACAACCAATAACCAACAATAAAAGAATGTTTACAATATTGATTCAGAGACATTATGTTGAGTTTTATTTACAAGTAACAGTTAGTTTTAATTTAAATTGGTGTGAAGATTCTTACAAATTGGATTAAACTAGAATTATTCTCTGTTTATTTTCACTATTTCATTATAAGTGTATAATAAATTTTTTCATAGATACTAACATTTTTATTATAATTATATACATTAACTAATAATGAATATTATTATAACAAAAATGAGTTAGAGGTAACACATTTAACTACAATAAAATTACATTAGAAGTATTGAAAATGGTTATTCTTATACTCTTGTTGTTTGATATATGTTATAAATAATAAAAGTACAAAAGACATTTCATCTTATTCATTAAAAAAGTAGTTATATCAATATATAATCATTGAACTTTCTTTGATAATACAAAAATAGATATAAATAAAATCAAAGAGAAATAATGAGAAATTAAGTAAGAGAAGTTCAAATACAAGAGAAAAAGACATCATAATATTATGGAGTTGATTCAAAGTAAGTTTTGTTTGATCATTAGAATCAAGAAATATACATAGTAAATAATAAGGTTATAAGTGTAAATGAAGAAATAAAAAGAGTTTAATTAATTTTGTAGGATATTCATTTCTCAGTTATTTCAATAAAATGATTTCGGGAAAAGGGATTTTTGGAAGCAACATGATTTGTTGTGTGGATGGTAGTTAAAAGAGTCGTTTTGTTATTAATTATTCGAGAAAAATTGTTTTTTTCATCATCAATTATTCTTAATATAGAACTAAGATAATGAATTAGAAATAGAATAAAAAAATAATAAATATAATATCTATAAATCTCATTTTTAATAATTTATGGGTTATAATCCCATTTTGTGTTCTTTTCTTGAATCATCCAGTTAATGTACCTAAATTATTTTTTAAACAATAAACATGTAAATAAAGACAAACGAATAACCTAATCTTGTTTGTTATCCAAAAATAATTATATTTTTAGAAAAAGAGTTTAATAATCTTAGGAGAAGTTACTTCAGTCTGCAAGGATTGTTAGAACAAAAATAATGATGAGAAGAACAAAAATTTCAAATAAACTCATGAAAACAACGCAACGAACGTTGCTACTAAAATAAATGTGGAATATTTTTAAAACAACCAAAAAACAAAACACTATAAGTTGTGTTGATTGGAATTTTCACCTATTTAAATCATTAACTAAGAAAAAGCAAATGTGTTGAATATGGAAATATGTGCATCAAGTTTGAGAGGTTCAGACTCTCCTGAACTAGACAAGAAAAATAAAAAAGTTGTTAAAGTGTGGACAAAATAAGAAGACAAATTGTTACTTGAAGGAATTGCAAAATATGGAAGTAAGAATAGTTGGGACAAAATAGCTATTATGATTCCTGGAAGAAATAGAAAACAATGTAGAGAACATTTTATTAATAAATTCAATAATATAAGACATAGACCATGGACCAGTGAAGAAGATAATGAAATATTAACAAGAAGAAAAGAATTTGGAAATAGATGGACTCAAATTGCAACATTTCTTGATGGCAGGTCTCCAAATGATGTGAAAAATCGTTTTTTTTGGGAGGCTTAAATATCAAATAACGAAAGAATTAAAACAAAATGCTCTTAGTGTTTTTAAGCCAATGGATCATTCACTATTCTGTGTAATATAAATGAGTTATGTTGTTTTACAATCCATTAATCTATTTTTGTTTTGAATCTATATTACACAACGTTATAAATGATTTAAATACAATCCTTGAATTATTTAATAGAAAAGTAATAAAAATTTGATTATAAAAGAATAAAAGGAGTTGAGTAGAATCAATCATATGAGAAAAAGTTGAATCAAAAAGTTAATTATTGAAGTTATGAAATAAATCTTCTTAAAATTAAAGTATAGCTAAATATAAAATACGAAAAATTTTAAAAGAAAAACTTAAACAAAAAAAAAAGAAGAAGGAAGAAAAATATGGAAGTTAAAGAAAAAGAAGAAATTTTTAAAGAACTGAATGAATTGTAAATTGACTTTATGAAAACAAGTCTTATTCTCTTTTTTTTATGTGTAAGTAGTTATGCTCAATTCAAAGTTTATGTATTTAATGTTGGACAAGCTGATTCTCAACTTATTGTTTATCCATCAGGATATTCTATACTTGTTGATCTTGGAGAACAAAGAAATGATCCAAATCCAACAAATGCCATTCGACTAGAACAAAAAATTGAAGAAATTCTTGGAAAAAAGTATATTGATGTAGTTGTTTTAACACATATTCATTTAGATCATTTTGGGTATTATGGAATATCTGGATTATGGCATTTATTTGAAGTTGGTAATTTTACTGCTGGGAAATTTATTGAAAGAAATGTTGGAAATTATACAGGAGAAAATAGAAAGAAATGTAATAATGAAACATATGAATTTTATGCAGCAGGAGAGTTTGAGAAATATTCTATTGAATGGGTATGTTATGCAGACAGTATTAAAGACCAAACAAAAGTATCTAAGATTAAAGAAATTGCTGATATTTGTTCTACTACTCAAATTAATCCTCCAGATAATGACAGTGAAGTTGAAATTTTTACTAGTAATGGATATGGTGCAATAAGATGGGATGGATCTCCTGTTGAAGCAAATTATTATAATCAACCAATGATGCCAAGTGAAAATGATTATTCTATTGGATTAAGAATTAAATATGGTAATTTTATATATGCAACAAGTGGTGATTTAGATGGTGGATATTATTATAGTTATGGAACAACAATTAATAATATTGAAGTTGAAGTAAAAGATGTTGTTGGTTCTGTAGATGTTCTTCGTGCAAATCATCATGGAAGTAAACATTCAAATAGTTGGGACTATCTTTCTATAACTCAACCAGTAGTTTCTATTATATCTTGTGGATTTAATAATACATATGGACATCCACATCCTAATGCAGCATATAGACTTACTCAAATGTCACAAAAAGTTTTTGCAACAAATATTTGTAATTCAAAAGTTTCATTTAATAATTATCATGAAATGGTAGATGATATTATTATTACTGTTAATTCTACTAATGCAACTCAATTTAGTATTAGTAATTCTGATAATTCTTATTATGAATTATTTAATATCAAAACAAGAAAACAACAAAGAAAAAGTTGTGTTCCTCCTTCAAATGATTTTGATGATTCTTCTTCAACACTCTTTATAGTGTTAGCTATTCTTTTAATTTTCTTTATTTAATATTTAACAACTACTCGTTTTGAATATTTTGAATTTTTTTTTTTGTTAGTCTTGGTAAATCAAAACTTAAAAATAATATAAAAAATAAAAACACTAGAAATTATAATTTAATGTTCATTTTATTCTTTACTTTCTTATTCATATTTTCCTCTTTTGGATTCAATGATTTAGCTTTAATGGAAATGGTTGATGATGATTTATTTGATGATGATGTTTTTGATTTATTTGATGATGATTTATTTGATGATGATGTTTTTGACTTATTTGATGAAGAGTTATTTGATTTGGAAGATGACCAATATGACTATAATGCAGCAAAACAAACATTAACTAACCTTGGGCGTTCTATTGCAAAAGAGAAAATGAACCAATTGTCAAGTTATCTTCGATCGAGTGCTAAGAATAGTATGAACGTTGTTCCTCTAAATAAGTTAATTAATAGAAGATATAAAGTACCTTTCCAAAATAATCCATTTAATCTTTAACTAAAATACTACTTGTTTGTTCAATCAATCTTCTTATTCTTTATTTAATAACTCTCCTATTTCAATTATCATAACAATGAAAGCATTGAATATACCAAAGTAATTTAACTGATTAAACTAATCCTAATGACATTTCCTTAGAATTAATCATTTTTACTTTCTTTTAGTTAGTAATGATTTATTTTAAATAATCCTTCTTTCTCAAGTTTAAATCAATAATTCATCAATAAATAAATATTCTATTTCAAACATTGTTATATATTTCAAAATTGAAATTTAACACAAAAACCCTGAAAACTTTTCTAAATTCTTGAAGAAGTAAACATCAATAATGCAAAACCATACAACACTATTACTGTACTTTGACAGTATTAGAGTGAGTAATAGACTATCAGCAGAGTTGTATCTTTGTCGGGTTAATCGTGAAATTGAAACTATGATATTGACAGAGTATTTTCATATTTCACAGTCTCATCTTCAAGAATTAAAGAAAGCTGCAATGAACCATAACAATGTAATAACATACTTAGATGAACTTGAGAATGATGAATTATTCCAATATTGTATGCTCATTAAAGGAACACAACTCAAAAACATCTTAGTTGAAAAGAAAAAAGGGTTATTTGAAGGTAAAGAATCTATTATTGATGAAGCACTTAAACAAGCTGAAGTTAATGAAATTAAAAAATCCATTGACTTGAATCTAGTTTTACAAGTAGTTCATTCTTTAAGAAATACTACTAATCAAGTCTCTCCTTGTGAAGAACAAACAAACTCAATCATCTCAAAAGATATCAAAAAGGCAATCATGAGACTGACTGGGACTCAATACTGTGAGGAGATTAAAGACTTTAATTGTTTTGTTGACAAAGAAACATTCTTAACAGAATTGGTTGAAAGAAATAATATTTGTATCTTGTGGAAAGAGGAAACTGGTGAAGTTTTTGGTGTTTATATTCAAGATGAAATTAGTGCAGAAGTGCCACTTGGTTTTGACAATTATGTCTTATGGGTGAAAGGTGAAGATGCTGACTTAAAAGTATTACTTCTAAATCAGAAATTTGGTGTTGATGCAACAATCAGTTTTGTTGATGATGATAACTGGATCAAGATAACAGGAAAGAATGGTCTTAATATGGTGTTTTGTTCGAATGGCACAAATGAATGCTCACTGTCTAACGTCCAGACTTCGTTTTATATTGATGAAAACCATCCAATCTGTTCTCGCTCTTCATTTAAAATATCTAACCTTTATCTTCTTCATCTTCACCACTAATTTATTATTTTTGTTTTATTCTTCTTCTTTTCTTAGTCTGTAAAACTAACAGCCTAACTGAATTTGAGTAGATGAATATTCAAACGAAGAGATAATAGAACATAATTACTTAATTCATTAACAATGAAAATGTCTATTCTAAATTATATTAGTCCAACAAGTAAATACATAAATAATAACCATTTCTATACTAAATACAAAAGCTAATAAAAATCAGTGATGAAGAAAAGTCAAATTATTCAAACAACATGAAAATACAATGATAAAGAAATTGTGTAAAAATATTAAATGGTTCAAATGACTAATGGAATAAATACGGTGACAGTCAATGAAGTAGAGTATCTAGAAATACATTTTTCATGAAAGTTACAAATAACAAGAAAATTTTAATAATTAACAACTTAATGACTTTCATTGCAGAATAACCTATACTTTTTGTTTTTCGCTATTGTCTGTTTTTCTAATTTTAATTCATTCTCTCTTGTTTATTTGTCTTTGTTATTTATTCTATTTTTATATTGGAATTATTTTTGAATTTGAAGTGAATTTGAGTTTATGAAGAAATAATTAAAGACAAATGAAATTGTTGATAATAATGAATCGTATGTTTCAAAATAATTCGAACAGTTGTGAATAAAATGAATGTTGATATTTATTGTTATTAAAAAACAAAAAGAGAAGTTGTTTATTCAAATAATAAATAAAACATATTATAAATATAATATAATGTAATTTAAATTGTTTTATTTTAATTCACACTCAACTTATCAAGATTTTTATTTCATACTGTTAATAAATGAAATGTTGTTTGATTGAATTTTAGCTATTGTTCTATTCTTGAATTTTTATTAAACTAAATCTTCAGTGAAAATTATATTATTCAATTATTCTTGATGTTTATAATCGTGAAATAGAAAAATAAAAATTGGTTATTTTGTTTTATTATAGGTATTGTTTTTATTAAAAATAAATATATTTGTTAATAGTGATATATTTAACATACAATTAATGAAAATATAATCATTAAATATTAGTAGAAAAGTATTATGAATAACCATTAATAAACAGTTTCTATGAATAATAGTTTTATTAAACTATGTGTTTTTGATAGAATGACAATAAAGAAATAAATAAAATGCTTAATATAAATACACAACTATTAATTATATTATTTATAACATGATGATAAAATTATATTTTATTCGTAATAAATATTGGTCTATATATAATGAGGTGTTTATACTGAATGATATTGTCATATAATAATATTTTATATAAAATCAATTGATCCATGTTATCATAAAGAATTAAAATAAAATGATTAAACAATCAATGATATAATGGATATTTTATTTTAATGATATTTTCATTTGTTAGTTATAGTAAATGATAAAGAATAAAATAATAAATAAATTCTTGTATAGAAAATAAGGTATAATCATTTCAATCAATAAATAGAATTAAAACTGAAATATAATGATATGAATATTCTAAAAACAAATTAATATGAATATGTAATAAAGTTATTAATAAAAAGTGAATTAAAGCATAAATATTTAAATATATTTTTACAATAAGAATGACTTGTACTATGAATAGAGTGTTGATATCAATCTATAACAAGTTACAATATTATTATTGTTGGACTTGAAGAAACATATGCTGCATTTTATTATCATATTTGTTTTTTATCTATCACGGAATAATAAATATAGAATAAATTTAATTTAGGATTTCATTGTGTTTTATTTATTCTTTATTGAATTACAAGTCATAATAAAGATAATAGAATAAAGCAATAAAGAATTTCCAGATTTTTCTTTTTTTGTTAATAATATGCTGAGATAAGGTAGTTATAACAAAAATAAAATAGATGAAATGAAATGAATATCAATGTCAATTCAAACTAAAATAATGAAATGAATATAAAACATAGAATATGTTTAAAAAGAAGAACTAAAATACAAAATATTCAATGATTACATTTATATTATTTGTTGTATTTACTACTGCAACCGATAATATTGTACGTGTTGATCAAGGAGTTAAAGATGTAAATAAATATCAGAATATAGTTTTAGTTTCAAAAATTAATAGAAATATTATTAGTCTTGATAAGTCAAAGTGCATTGAGTATAGAAAAGGAAGAGCTTTGAAAATATATAATAAAGAAATAGATAACAACAATAAATATTATATTAAATACTATATTGATAGTAATTGTGATAAAGAAGAAGAACCAGGTAAAGAAGAAGTTTTTAGAATTAATAAAAATATTATTTCAGCAACTAGTAAGAATTTAAAGCATGGTACTGTTACCAGTGAAGATATTGAAAATGCTGAAAATTATTTTTATTATACTAATACTAAACGAATGTTTAATTTATATAATATACATTTAAAGAGTGAAACTGTACATAAAGAGTCACAGTCTGCAGAAGTATCAGGTGGAGAAGAAAGTAGTAAGAAGAGTCATGAATCAGAAACATCTCAAAAAACACAATCAAATAGTCAATCACCAAGTACAACTATAACATCACCAACAAAATCTGAACAAAGTACGACGCAAACAAGTGAGTCTGGAACAAAAGAACAACAAAAAGTTAATGAAGGAACTACAAGTACATTAAATGGAGAAGGGAAAGGACACAACGAACAAAGTCAAGAAGGAGTTGGAAAGAATAGTTTAGATGGAACTAGTGCAACAGGAACTGGAGTGAGTGGACAAGAAACAACAAGTGGAAAAGAGAAGAACGACGCAACACAAACAGGAGAACCCCCTACAGAAACACAAGAAGGAACTACCACAGTAAATAAAAAACCAGAGGCAACTAAATCAACAAATGGTGGAAATACAGAGTCAGGTAAGAATGGATCAGAAAAGAATGGGCAAGGTCAAAATGCAGATGAAAAAACTAAAGAAGAACCAAAATCAAATGATGGGAAGGATAGTACAACAACCAGCGGAAAAGATGGACAATCAACCAGCGGAAAAGAAGAAGGAACAAGTGGACAACCTTCAGGAAAAGGAGGAGAAAGTACATCAAATGAGAGTGGAAAAGAAAATGAAGGAGAGAGTGTAGGTCCAAATGGGCAAAAACCACCAGCAAATCAAAACGATGGAAAAGATACACAAACTGGTGGACAAGGAAAAGATGGAAATGCTGGAACAACAACTAATGGAAAAGATGAAAAAGAAAATAAACCAGATACACAACCTCCAACAGGAGGACAAGATGGAAAGAGTAACGATAAAACTCAAAAGCCAGATGATACAAAAAATAATCATGACCCAAAAACACCAATAACTCCAGAAGAAAAGCCAAATAATAATACAAACACAACAAGTACTAAATCAGAAAATAAAACTGATGATAGTTCAAATAATAAAAATGATGATCAACATGAACATAATAATCTTGATAATACTTCAAGTGTCTTCATTTGTCTCGCTATTATCATTGGATTTTTGTTATTTTAATTGAATTTATTTATTATTATATTAATATTATAAGATTAAAGATGGCATGTCTGAAACACCACATAAATATTAATACAATTTAAGCATCGACACTTCCAGTTATTTTCTGGTTATGACGGTGTATTTGAATTAGAAATGTATTAAGTAAAACTGCAAAGGGTGTAGCAAGATATTATGGTAGAATATTACATGGTGTAATATAAGAATCTACTGAATTGTGGGTAAGACTAAAAGAAAATTAAACATAATAATATAATGGGAATGAAATAGTCTCTTCTCTCATTCATAAAATAAAGAAAAAAGGAAAAAGAAAATGTTTAAAATTAAGACAGAAAATAAACAAAAGGATTAAAAAGAAGGAATAAGTGAAGAAGGATGAGAAGACATTAATAGGAAAAAATAAAGCAAAGAAGTGATTTTCTCATATTCCTACAAAAAACTTAAAGAATAGGTTAAACAAAAAGATTACTCTTTTTTAATAAGCGAAGGGATGGGATTAGTCTCCCCTGAGCTAGGAAGAATAGATAAAAATTCTATTAACGCTTAATTAACTAATGTTGGTTCTAATTTGCATATGTGTCAATGTTAAGATTTTATATTTGTTAATTATATTCATTAATGTTTATTTTTGAGTAGAATATTTAATGAATCTAACTTGTTCTTCTTCTATAAAAGGAAATAAAATAGAGAATATAATTTGTTTGTTTCTTGTTTTTTCTAATCATTTCTTTAAGCAGATTTCTACATCTTAACTAATATCACTAATTTATTTAAAAGTAAGAATTATAAAAGGAATATAGAATAACATTTAATTTGTGAATTTTGTTTATCAACTCTATTTAATAGTTTATTGAATTATTAAATTAATTATACCAAAAAAAATCTAAGAATTTTTTTGAGTAGAACAAATAACAAAAAACTTAAGTTAGTATAAAAAGGAAAAAACAACAAGAACAAAATCCATGATTTATAGTAGAATATTGTTAATTTTATTCATTGGTAGTTAATGTTGTGAAGATACACTAACTTATTATGAGAATGAAACTAGGAACAAGAAATAGATATGAGTTTAAAAAATGGAGAATAACAAAGAAAACAATAACAGGTAAAGAATTTTGTAATAAAATAATGTTTTTATATTAAATTCAATTTTCAGTACAGATAAAAATAAGGTTTCTTGGAAACAATTTTATGTCTAATAATTGGTGAACATTTAGTTCCTCGTACAAATAAGGATTTTTCTTGTTTATTATAATAACAACCATTTCTCATATCAAAACAAAACATTTGGTCACAAGTAGCCATGGTAACATTTAATGAATTGAAATATCCAGCAAAGTACATATGATTTAGTAGGGATTGATCATATCCCCATATATGAACTCTTTGATAATCAAATTGAGCAGTATAAATTTGAAGTAACCGAAGAACCTTTTCAGTTCCACCAAAAATTGTTCCAGAATTAATAATTCTTGTTTTATTGGCTGCATATAACTCTGAAACCTCTTTACTAACACTA